CCCCAAAACCCCAAAACCCCAAAACCCCAAAACCCCATTTGTATATTATAATATTGATAATATCATGGAAGTTCTAAAGCCTCATTCTTTTGGTTGGGATCCGACTCTAAAAATGATAGAGATTATGCAAGATTACAAAATAAATTCTAAAACCTTATCAGCTCTTAAAGAAGATCCAGGATTTACTGATTTTTGTAGAGATTATTTCACTCAAGGAATGACTAGCAAGTTTCAATACAAGATTGAGTGTTTGGAAAATGTCATTCAAAAAATAAAGAATCCTTATCTTCGAGAATCAGAAACTTCACTTGCTCAAGATGCCAAAAAGTTGGAATTATATCTATGCGAGGTTAAATACAGTAACATCACTAGAGCTTTGAAGCCTTTTAGCAATGGGAAAAACTTGTTTGTAAACCCTAAAATCACTGCTAAATTCAAAATGCTCAAAGCTATAGATCTAAGAGCTCCAAAGAGAGAAGTATCTTGTCTCGTTGTGACTAGAGAAAGCTTGAAAATGACACACAAGTTTTTCTGAAGTTTGTTTCCAAACAGCACTACAGAATTTCGCTTAATCAACGAGGCTGGAATTGGAATTAATCGCAAAATTATGAATATTCAGCCTTATCTGAGATGACTAGAATCTGTCTCTAAAAGGATCAGTGAAATTATGAGTCTGCAAGGGTTCAAGATTTGTTGAAAAGGATTCAAAAGAGTATTTTCAATCTCAAGACTATCTAAAATCTTGGAATTGGTTGACTGAGAGCTGGATCTTAATTCAGTTCATGATTTATCTTATGCTTTGAAGAGATGAAAAATTACAAAATTAAAAGTAATCTTTCCTCGAAGATATAACAATCATGAGGAATCATCAAAGGTAGATAAACTAAACAACTTGATAAAATCATTAGCTTCATCAGAAGATTTAAAGGCTAGCTTGAAATCAATAGTGGTTATGAACACTGGGGTTCCAAAAGAAATAACAAAAGCAATGTTGAGGGTCCATCAATTAGGTAATTCATAAGTTAACCATTACCAAAATTCAATTTGGGGGATTTAATGTGGGGTTTTGGGGTTTTGGGGTTTTGGGG